CAGGAGATTTCTAATCAAATAATACATACAGTCCAATGTGTAAGTTACCTTTAGAAGACTGCGAAGCGATAGAATGTCTCGATTGTGATTGTGGAACATTAACTTGATGAGAAGAGCCTGATTGCGACATCTGCAAAGTGAACGAACAAACATTTGTTAAGTACTTCTAGTTGCAAACTATTGTCTGTTATCGTGAAAGATTGATTTCCACAATTTCCAAAATTTTTAGAAAAGTAGTGACAAACATTCATGTGTTGCATCTATTTACAGATCTTCAAAATCAATAACTAAGATGCAAAAGATTTCCAGATAGAAACAGTAGAGTGCCAACAACGATAGATTCAAAAATTGATTCAGTCGGTCCATAAACGGATCCAAAATCATTGTTAAATTACCGAAGCAAAAACACAAAGTGGCAAAAAAAAGAGAAGCAAACAGTACCCATGCATACAGCTCCTGAGAAGAAAAAAATTACCTGTCGAGTATTGTTACCGCTTCCAACAGCGCTTTTCCCAGGTGGAGTTGCTGATCCAGCTGTTGGCGAGCCAGCACCAGTAGTAGCTTGATCTATGGAATGAGCAGCAGAAGATGGCTGAGACGTTGATGCAGCCCCCTGTCACATGAAAGGTCTCATAAATGCCTGCTGTACGTGAGAAAAAATGTCAATACAAAAATAGGAAGATCACCTGGTTGACTATCCTCACATAACTTTTCGGGAACCATCCAGTGGATCCATCGGCTTTGCGTCCACGCCACTTCATTTCTTGTTGTTCTATTATCTAGCAACATTTGTTTTCAAGTAGGAAATAGTTGTAGAACATATTATAAGGTTGCAACAGCACAGATCATAACCAAAAAAATACCTCAATCGGATCGCCTTTTGAGAACGATAAATCTCCTTCGTTGCGCGCTTTCCAAGGAAATTGAGCGACACACTTACAAATAACAGCTACAGTTTCAGGAGGTACGGCTTCTGAAGCTTTGACAGGTTTGAGAGCAATGCCTCACAAACTGGATTCCTCAACCTTCAAAATGACTAACCTTTCGGCGTAGAAACTGATTTCACAACTGCTTCCTCTGGAATTCTATCCAAAGATGGCGACGGGGTTACATTTGGCGGCATGTTTTGGATAGGCTGAAATATATGTCAGGTACTATTATTGCAGAAATTGATGGTACATCATTTCTGCATTAATCACTTTAATCACTTTGAAGAGCAAAGCTGACCTGAGAAACTGCCGAATGCACAGGAGCAATTGGTTCAGCGAATGCTTCTGGGAACCATCCTACCTGGAATAGAAAAGAACGCTCATAGTACACTATAAAAGATCAAATATTTCCTTCTACATGTTGGCACACATAGACAGATTGATGGCAAAATGACCTTATCTCTGATCTGGCCAGCTTTCCAACCAGGTTCAGCAACATGCGACTCAAAAACGAGGATAACATCACCAGGCTGAAAGCTCAATTCATCTTCGCTACGAGCGGAGAATTCAAACAAGGCACGATATTTTGTCGTACCACCAGCACTTGCAAGTGGTAAAGCTGTACCACTTGAAACAGAATCTAAAAGTCGTCATACAGTTTCTCTAAGAAAGACTCCAGATATGGAGCCCACCTTGCTGTATAACAGGTGCAGAGCTTTGAGCAGGAGCT